GCTAAGGGCAGCAGAGGCAGGGGAGGAGTAGCGCGCAACGACAGCATCGAACAGGGTCTTAGCGGTCTTAAACTGAGTGAAGTGCGCACGCTCAGCAGACGGCAGGTGACTACGCACAGCAAGGCGGGCAGCAGCATCGCGAGTGTTCCAGCGAGAGCGCACAGTAGCATCAGCATCAGCAGCAGGTTGGGGGGAAGCACCAGACGTGAGGTCGTGCAGCGAGACATCGTCTTTGCTATCACACTGCAGGAAAAGCTGCAAGTCGTCAAGCCAGACCTCAAAGTCTATCGCCCGACCCTCAGCATCGAAGGTAAGCACAGCAGGACTAGCCATGGCAGCAGGCGGAGCAGGCTAGTAGCAGCAGTAGAAGCAAGCGAGCAGGAGCAGCAACAGTAGCAGGAGAGGCACGGCTCGGCGATGCGCTTACCAGGGGCGGGCTGGAGAAGCCCGCAAGCGGTGGGGCAAGGCCGAGGTGCCCGAGCAGGGGCAGGGCCGCACCAGGGCGGCAGAACAGGGCCGGGACGGCGGCGGCGGCTGCAGCTAAACGGCGGCGGCCGCGACGAACGGCGGCGGCGGCTGTCACTGCCGCCGCGGCAGCGGCTGTCACGGCAGTAGTGGCGGCAGCTGCAGAGGGGCGGCTGTTCCAAGGGCTGCTCCTCCAGGGGCGGCTGCTGCAGAGGGGCGGCTGCTCCAGGGGCGGCTGCTCCAGGGGCGGCTGCTGCAGAGGGGCGGCTGCTCCAGGGGCGGCTGCTCCAGGGGCGGCTGCTGCAGGGGCGGCTGCTGCAGGGGCAGCTGCTCCAGGGGCGGCTGCTCTAGCGGCGGCGTCACAGCAGTAGCGGCGGCGGCGGCACAGCCTTGGCGGAAGCGGCAGCGGCAGCAGGTGCGACGGCAGCTGCTGCAGAGGCGGCGACGATGGGGCGCCGAGGCGGCAGGGCGGCAGAGCCGCGAAGGGGCCGCGTAGGGGGGGGGGGGGGGGGGGGGGGGGGGGGGGGGGGGGGGGGGGGGGGGGGCGAAGGGGCCGTAAAGAGCCGTGGGCGGGCCGAGAAGCGGGGCCGCGAGGGGCTGCGCGAAGGCCGCGAGGGGCCGCGAGGGCTGCGAAGGGCCGCGGAGGGCCGCGACGCGCCGCGAAAGGGGGCGCCGCGACGAGCCGTTAAGGGGGGGGCCGCGACGAGCCTTTAAGAGTGGCTCGCGCGCGAAAAAAAAAAAAAAAAAGGACGCGCGCTGCAGCCGAGGCGCGCGCGGGTAGTAGGTAGCGTAGGCAGTTAGGTGGGCCCAAAGGTAGTTAGGCCCTAGAGACCTCTTGCTCTGAATACTAGGACAAGAATGGATCGACTAGGTCAAGGTTTGGGTACAAGAAAGAGAATGTCGAGAAAATATTTGTACCCCCTAAAGCTATCCCCAATGCAACCTAGATTATAATATGCATATATTTGACAGATACCGCACGGTAACACAGCTCAGTTTGGGTTAGTGAGCTGGTGTGGTCTGAAATGGGATGACCATGACATGATTGATATAATAGTCCCTGCACTAATGCTCGAATCCCATGATGAGGCACCAGCTACCTACATTTCTTAACACTGGAGGAGGAACATGTGCTATTTATACAATATATTGTAGGGTTCAGACATTCACACATCAGACCATATGCATATGCCCGTGGTTGCAATGAAATGACAAAGGCCTTCGTGTTGACTGATGTTTGTGGCACGGAATGGTGCATGAGATGTAGAGCAGATGAGGTAGAATGAGTTGGCTTGGGCCATTGGCATGGCAAGAGAACATGTGTATTGCTGCTGCATTGCCCATCCAGAGTCCATCCATCATCATATTTCCTCCAACAGTATCCTCACTACTTCCAACAGCATTCTCACCACTTCCAACAGCATTCTCACCACTTCCAACAGCATACTCACCACTTCCAACAGCACGAGCTGGTGGGATTGCAGCAGGCGGCAGCACAAGTAGGAGGAGGTGATGCTGTGGAATGCCGGAAAGATGCAGGCAATGCAGATTTGCATCTCAGGTGCACACCTCGCCCTCTCCACCTCTGAGGTCGCTGTGAGTCGCCACAGCTCACCAAAATGCAGTGATGGGATGCACACCCACCACTTTACTGGAGAATGTCTGGAAACTGTAATGGAATATGAAATATTTCAGAGACAGAGGCTACCGTAACTGCACCCCCTCACTGCACCTCCACCACTCCTCCCACCCAGTGCATCCCTCCACATCTGGTTTATGCAACCTCAGCTTCTCCAGTAGCGTAGCACTTCTTTTCATGTTCCTTTGAACTTGAGGTGATATTGCAGCTGTTAAGAGGGCATGGCATTGAGGGAAGCATTTGTGATCAGAAACGAAACGATAGTGCAGTGGGATGTGCATTTTGGGACCATACACATTCTTCATCACATCAGCTCACTGCACACCATGCCATGTTATCGTGGCAATGCAACTATGAACATTTTCCCCTTCTCCATATGTCTTCCTCTTCCTTGCCCTGCCAGCACCCTTTTCGCCCACTTCTCCAACTGCACACCCACCACACCCTCCCCCCTATGCTCCATTTACTCCCACTGTTCCAACCAGCTGTGTAACTTGCTGCAGCAGTGCGCCCCTCCACACCAGGCCTACAGGCGCACCATGCTGCCATGAGGAGGTGGTGGAGAGAAAACAAGAGAAAAGGGCCAGCGAGAGTTGCAAGGGAAAGGCTGGGAGGAGTTTATGGGCTGTTTGCAAAAGCACATGGTCAGGAGAACTGGCAGTGGCAGGAGGAGAGCCATGGAAGGTCTAGAGAGGACGATGAGGAATGGAGAAACAGAGTGGGCTGACGCATGGGCAGAGAGTTATTTGTTCATGTTTCGACGTTTTCCCCAACAAACGCAACATGTCAAATTAAGAATCCCAGCTCAGACACTCACCCCTTGAGCAATATAAGGAACATCTTACGTCTGCACATCAGATCACATCAAACACATACACCCAACCATCCACAAACAAGGGAAGGCGGCAGCGATAGATGCAACGTAAAGAGGGCTGAGAAACACTCGGGGGGTGTTTACAGAGGGGGGTGAACAGAAGAACTGATAGTGGTAAGAGGAGATAAAGGGGCATGGAAGGCACAGGGAGGAGGATGAGGAAGGGGCTGAAAACGTAGGCACGGAGGGGTTCTGATGGAGAGACACGGGACAGAGAGCAAAGATTCTTGACAGCCTATCGAAGTGCCCACAGGGCATCTCTGCTGGCAGCATTGTCAACCACCCACCAACGACCAGGGGATGAAGGAGAGTTGGGTTAAGTTGGAGAGAATGTTGGGTGAAGTTGGGGAGGAAGTTGGGTGAAGAAATGCGTGAGCAGCACAGGAGAGAGGGGCATGGAGGGGAGAATCGGGTAAGAGAAGGTAGTCATTGCAGGTGATGTGGAAGGGAGGACGAGGTGCTGCCTGTTAGTGCGATGCCTACAGTGCTGCTGCTAGGGTGGGATTGCGGGGGAGCAGATGAGAGGGTGATGGCAGGCAGAGGTGGAGGAAAGGTGATGAGGAGAGACAGTTGAAAGAGAGCGAGATGGGGTGAAGTCACGGGCATGGCAGGATGGAGTTGTACGAGTGAGGTGCTGATAGGTGGAAGGTATGTGGAAACGAGAGGGAAAATAAGGGCAGGTTCACGTGCCTCGGAAAGAGTTGAAATCAAAGATGGGGAGGGGAGAGACGAGGGAGATAAGGGAGTATAGCAGGGAGGGAGCGGCTTGGATAGCACCATGTGGTATGCAGCATGTCCTCGCACACAGGGAACAATGGGAGGTGGGGAGTGGAGACAGGGGGAGGGGGGGAGGTGGGGAGTGGGTGGAGGGAAATGGGCGGGGATAGTGCGGAGAAGAACAGGCGGGGAGGCTAAGGGTGGGGGATGTCGCACAGTGTGTGCACAGAGAGTGCTCAATGTCGCACAGGTGGTGCGGGGTGGAGAAGTGAGAGGGGTCGAACCTTGAGCAAAATACGACTGTTCGCAATCCCTGTCTCCACTTATCTCTCCTTGCTGCGCAAACCTAAAACTTTTCCCACCTTTCCGCCCCCCCCCCCCCCCCTCAACTCCCTCCGTGCGCCTCTTTCCTCTTCCCCCAGTACACCTCAAGGAAGGCGACTGCGATCTCATCGTGAGAGCACCCGCTTTGGTTCCACACCCCCCTCTCCCCTCTCCCAACCCTCTCCCTGCCCCCACATCTCCCCTCCCCGCGCGCGCACCTCTCCCCCCACCTCTCCCGCACCTGTAGGAAGGCTTCAACAACCTCGTCGGCGGAGCACGCACCCTCATTCTCCATTCTCATCTGTCGTCGCCGCTCTGCCTCGTGCGGCCTCCTAGATCATCATGACATCAGCACCAGTCAGATCTGCACGCACCGTTACGCGCAACAGGCATGCGGTGATTGGTGCAGGAAGATTGGTGCGCGGCAGGGTAGGGAACGGGGGGGGGGGGGGGGGGAGCAGAAGGGAAAAAACCGGGGGGGAAGGGGGAAAGCAGGGTGGGGAAGGGGGAAAACATGGGGGGGGGGGGAGGGAGAAAACCGGGGGGGAAAGGGGGAAAATCGAAATGAGGAAAGAAGGGGATTGAGAGGAAGAAGGGAAATTGAGCGAAGCGCGCGAGCGGCAAAAACGGGCAATGACGACCAAGGAGGGACGGACAACAAAGGATAACGAAAGGCGAGGGCCGACAATGACTGACATGACCAACAACAACAGACAGACACAGCGAGAGCGCGCGCTCCTCCTGCACCGTCATTCCAGATGAATGTTAGGGAACAAAATACAGATTCCGAAGAGTTTTTCGAGACTACTGGACGCACCTCCTGCACCGCCATGCTGCGATGCTCCTTGAGCAGCTGGATGGTCTGCATGCGAGGAGTGGGGGGTAGTAGCTCACCTGACTCTGTAGTATGTAACCAAGTCAGATGTACAGCGACGACAGCAATAACTGGGCTAAGCTGGCAAAAGTGATTTGCAGAAACATTCATTGACAATCAGAGCATCGCCTCACAAGATCGACCTTGACTCGCATGACCTCGACTCGCATGACCTCCACTCGCATGACCTCCACTCGCATGACCTCCACTCGCATCACCTCCACTCGCATGACCTCCACTCGCATGACCTCCACTCGCATCACCTCCACTCGCATGACCTTCACTAGCATGACCTCCACTCGCATGACCTCCACTCGCATGACCTCCACTCGCATGACCTCCTCTCGCATGACCTCCTCAGGCAAATGTGGCGAGAGAGCGCGCTCTCCCTGCGCTGTCATTTCGCAATGCAAGGACTTGAAAAGTTCCTTCAGACTGCAGGTCGGCTAGCGAACGTGCACTGCCCCGGAACCCACTGCCTCCTCGAGAGTTTTTTTTTTTTTTTTTGGTGGACATAAGTACACTACACGTATACATACATCCGCAGTCGTAACTGTTGCTAGGAGGGCATGAACAGGTCACAAGTAACCTAACCCCCCTTGTCCATTTACGGAGGCCGGAAAGCTGCCCCTCCGTCTTCCCAGATCGCTTTGAAGCCCGCTCTCCATGTCATCGAAGCCTCAGTCTCGTAAAGCCTGCGCATAGCGCTTGCCTCGTCAGCACTCAAGTGGCCCCAGTCACCCGCCCTTCCTGAGCCACTTCTGCCAGCCGACCCCTTCCGCACTCTACTGTAGATCTTCGCGTGACGTGTAAAACTGACTGCTATGCGCCTCAGTGCCCTTTTTGGCTGAAATCGACTGCCTCGGAACACCGCATTGCACCTCTCCAGCCACACCTGGTGCGCTGTAATAGAAATGATTGCAGCTTCCGGAAAGCCGGATGACATGCCATGCTTTTGGAAGAGCATGTCGCCGAGAGACCTCATTTCCCTGCCCGGGTTCATGCACTGCACCGCCTTTTTCATCACCTCCACCACCGGTTGAACCACCGGGCAGCTGAAAAGACAGTGAACCTGAGATTCCACCCCGCCGCAGTGCGTGCATTTCGCCCTCGCGCCCAGGGAAGGGAGCCTCTCCCCTACCTGAAGGTTGTTACTGTGCACCCTCAGCACCACCTCTCGTGCCCTGCATGGGGTTGCCAACGAGTCACGGACCGTGATGGCCGTCCCCCAGTCGATCTTCCTCCCCAACTCCTCTTCCCACTTCAGCTGTTGCTTCGGCTGCGCCTCTGAGGGTTTCATCGCTTTCCTCAGCTGCTTTATATCAGCCCGCTCGCCTTTCTCGCAGACAGGGGAATAGAGCAGGTGCATTCTCGGGGCACCCAGCAGACCTCGAGCCCTCCCGTCGATGACGGCCATAGGAGCAGCGCGCCGAAACTCCACCCTCACCACGCTGGCATATTCCACTTCCGAAATATACCCTTTCTGTCAGAATAACTGAACTAGGAATGAATGAACTAACAGCAAGGTGGGTACAAGTAGGAAACCCTAACTTTGTGTACCCCCTAAGGTCAAACCCACTACAGCCTACACAATATAAACATGCAATGTTTGACACACCCCCATAGGCACAGTGGGAGACAACCAGGGGGTCACAAGACCAATCAAAGCAAAGCAAAACAAGCTCAGGGTGGATCTCAAGGATACCACACAAATTCTGAGCACAAGCAAGTGGTCACAAGACCAGTTCACATGCAGTTTGATAATATAGCAAGAGATACAGTGATCACAACCTAGCAAGTGTAAACATGCAGGTATATATATAGAGATCACAGTACAAGCAGAGTCAAGAAGTAAGCAAGTGAGGTCCAGTAGGCACAAGGCCTAGAAGAGTACAGAAGCGCTGATGGTCACAAGGCTGAAGCGCCTTGGTGAACACATCAGCAGTGTTGGCCTGAGTGGCCACGTAACGCAGACAAAGCTGACCACGCTGCTGTAGCTCTCGAGCAAGGAAGTAGCGGAGAGCAATGTGCTTCGTTCTGTGCTCCAGTCTGTGCTCCTCACACAAAGCAATGGCAGCCTTGTTGTCAACGTACAGCACTGGAGGAGAACGAGGCCGCTCTCCCAAGTCGGTCAGCAGGTAGGTGAGCCAGCGTAGCTCCTGGGCCGCCATGGCTGTGGCGTAGATCTCAGCCTCACAACTGGAGCTGAGAACAGAAGAAGAACGAGTAGAACGCCAAGAAACTGAACCAGAGCCAAGGCTGAAGGTGTAACCCTGAGACGACTGCTGAGTAGCCTGGTCGTCAGCCCAAGAAGCGTCTGAGTGTCCAGTGAGCACAACTCTGTCCCGTCCTCCAAGCACTAGCCCCATGCCCGACGTACTGCACAAGTAGCGCAACACCCTCTTAGCTGCATCCATGTGCTCCTTCCGGTGACGGCCAGGAGCGACATAGCGTGCAAGGATGCTAAGAGGGTATGCAAGGTCAGGTCGAGTGCAGGTCATCAGGTAGGGCGGCACGGCTCGGGTAGGGCGGCGCGGCTCGGTTCGGGCTGCGCGGCTCGGCTCGGACTGGGCGGCTCGGTTCGGGTGGCTCTGTTCGGGCGGCCTGGTTCTGGCGGGGCCGTGGCTGTCGCGTGCGGGGCGTTAAGGGGCGGCGGGTAGGGTCGACGAAGCCGCTAAGGGGAGGCGCGCGGGGTCGACGGGGCCGTTAAGGGGCGGTGCGCGGGATCGACGAGGCCAGCGGGGCCTCTAGGCGGGGCGCACGTGGGGTCGACGGGGCCAACGGGGCCTCTAAGCGGGTCGCGCGCGGGTCGACGGGGCCTTAAGAGGCCTCTAAGCGGGTCGCGCGCGGGTCGACGGGGCCTTAAGGGGCCTCTAAGCGGGTCGTGCGCGGGTCGACGGGGCCTTAAGGGGCCTCTAAGCGGGTCGCGCGCGGGGTCGACGGGGCCAGCGGGGCCTCTAAGCGGGGCGCGCGCGGGGTCGACGGGGCCTCTAAGGGGCGGCGCGCGGGTCGCTAAGGGGCAGCGCGTGGGGTCGACGGGGCCTTAAGGGGCCGTACACGAGGGCGCACGAGGGCGCTGAGGGGGAGGTGCTAGGGAGCGCTCTGATAGTAGGGCGCACGAGGGCGCTAGTAGGCAGTCAGTAGTGGTGGGCCCGAAAAAAATAGGTCCTAGCGAAGGACCTGCTCTGAAACCATGTCAGAATAACTGAACGAGGAATGAATGAACTAACAGCAAGGTGGGTACAAGTAGGAAACCCTAACTTTGTGTACCCCCTAAGGTCAAACCCACTACAGCCTACACAACATAAACATGCAATGTTTGACACTTTCTTGTCGATGGTCACCCTCTTTCCATACAGTTCACCCTCTCTGACATATTGTAGTTGGTAGTAAAGGAACTCCCCCGGCCGGTAAGACGCGGAGCGAACAATCCTTGTTTCTCTGAAGATTTCCTCCGCCGACAGTTGATTGAGTACCAAATCCTTCCACCCTTGCGGTGCCGCTTCCCACGCTTTTAAGGCCCACTTCCTTTGTTCCTCTCCTCCTAACTCCCGCTCCAGGACCTCTTCGTTTTTGCGAGACCTGCTGCCATCCCCTCCCTTAACCACCAGGTCCCCCAGCCGGATGCCCTTCATGCAGTGGGAGCCCGCCTGGTTCCCAAACGGTGATCTGCCTCTGAAAAAGATTTTGCGGTTGAAAAGTAGCTGCTCCTCCTCTGCATCCCATCTGTGGGCGGTCACCTATCTCCACAATTTTTGAGTCCCACAGCGCCTTCACCGCTGCCTTCCACCTTATACCCCCCCCAGCCAATGTTTCAGGATCGAGGGGTGCGCATATATCGCATATACGCTCTCTCCCATAGCCAGTTCCGGAGTGGATCCTGCTCCACCAGAGCCTTCCCCAAGCCTTGGATCACCATGCTGTCGATTCGATGTCTCAGATCGATCACTCCCAGCCCGCCTTCCTTCCGTCCCTTGCACGACAACTTGTAACTCCAGAGAGTGAAATGCCTGTCCAACAGCGCTTTGCCTCCTCGAGAGCTGGCTCAGCAGCATGGGCAGGGTGGGTGGTGGAGGCGTGGGGAGGAAGGGGGGGGGGGGGGTAAGGGAGGGGTGTGGTGGAGCGGTGTGGGCGAAAGGAGTGGGGGAGAGGCGTTGGAGAGAGGCGTGGGGGAGAGGGGTGGCGGAAAGGGGTGGCAAAGATCAGAGGAGAGAACCCCTACTACGTCATACTTCTTAGACCTCACGATTCTGAACCCTTGCCATCTTGTTCCCCCCATCGCCTCTTAACCCTTCCATATCCCCCGTATCCCCCTCCCCCCCTCATCCCCTCGCTCACCTGTGGGCGCGGCCACTTGCGCATGCCCTGCGCCAGCACCTTTTATCCCCCCGTCTCCCGTAATCCCCACTTCCCCTCCTTCCCTGCCCCCCATCGTTCACCCGTAGACGCGGCCCACGCATTTCCAGCGCCAGGGCAGATGAGGCAGATGGGGAAGATGGGCGAGAGAAGTGCTTAGAGCCTCGGATTGCTGCCCTCCGGCGCAAGAGGCGTGTCAGAGGACCTTTAAGGCACTCAAATGCTTTCCAGAGGACGTTTGAGGCGTTCCAAACGCTGACCAGAGGACGTAATAGAATGCCGTGCGCGTCACTGACGGGGATTTTTTGGCGAAGGATGGGTCGTATCGTAGTGTCTGAAGGATTGCCTTTACCTTTTCTCGAATTCTTCGCAACTCAGATATTCGCAGCTTATGACCAAATAATGCGAGCACCCAATTGGGTTTCCCAATGCTTCATCGCATTTCACTTGCCGACGTATGTTCAGCTGCAGTCACAGCGGGATCGGCCTACGGCGAAATACGTCTGCGCCGCGCGGCGTCGCTGGCAGTGGGAGCAGTTGACGGCAGAATCACCAGCCGAAGCAACAGTAGCAGCTGCCGCCGTATCGGCGCGAGGCAGGAGTTCGCAGCAGCATTTGCAGCAGCGGCGGCGGGAGCTGCGCGCCGAGCGCAGGGGAGAGCGACGATCAGGTCGAACGGACTCGACTGGCAACGCCAGCATAGCAGCGGCTGGTGACATGGGCACGAGGACGACTCGTTGCTGTGGCTGATAGTAGCTAGCAGGTACCGTGGCTTTTGTGGCTTACTAACTAATGGCTGCTGATAAAGCGAGTGCACCTGGTAGATTGTGTTTACGGGGACGGCGATGACGGCGACGAATCCGTCACTGCGGCGACGCTGTGAATGGGAAAACCGGTACGGTTTCATGCTACTAGGAACCGCCGTCGATGAATTTGGACTATGCCTGAGCGGGTGCTCGAAAAAATAGGGTTGGGTTGGAAGTTGTGATGATTATCGAACAGTGAACGTGATTCAGAAGCCTCGCTTCTCTACAACGAATCAAGCCTAGCCTTTCTACTCGAGCACACCTAGCCAGGCGAAAACCTCGTGTGACGAGGTTGGGGAAAGGCGAAAGCTTCGGAGGCGGTATGAGTCACCTTTTGCTTTGTCACCTCGACCGAGCCTCATCCCCGTCATCTTCGGGGCTTCCTACGACTGAACTGGAAACCGTTTTCGACCGTTTTCGTAGAGCCAGGTCTTCCATATACGCTTGAACCGCTGCTTCGGTCAAGTGTTCTTCAGACTCCTATGAGTTGTGTTCCGGCCCATAGC